GTCAACACCGCCTCCCCTTCACCGGCGCCGCCAACGACATACACACCCTCATCCTCCATTCGTCGCGAGCCCGCTTGCCACGCTGAAGGCCAGACACAGGTTGGCAACTGGTTCCTCCTTTTCTCTCTCCTTCTCTCTCTTTCACTCTCACTCTCACTCTCACTTTCGCTTTCTCTTTCTCTCCCCTTTTCATTTCTTTTCTCTTCCTTTCTTATTTTATTCTCGCTCTCTTTTTCTTTTTCTCTTCCTGTTCGCTCTTCCTCTCTTCTATTTTCCTTTTCTTTTATTGATTTCTCTCTTGTTCTCCTCATGACCTCTTCTCATATTATATCTTCTTTCCTTTCTCCTTTTCTTCCTCGCTCCCTTTCTCATTCTCTCAATACCTTGCTATCTCTGCCTCTGCCTCTCCCTCTCCCCTTATCTTCTTTTGCTCATTTCTAATCTTTATTATTCCTCACTTCCACCCATTCACCTCCTTTCTTCTTCTCCCTTTCTCTCCCCCTCTCCTCTTGTCTTCTTTTTCTTTCACTATTTCTGTCTTTCTCTCTACCTCTCCTCTTCTCTTTTTGTTCTCTACCTCTCGATCTCGCCGAAAGCACCTTCTTCGTCTCGATCTGAATCGCCATCTCCTTCAGCCGACTTTCACCAATCCTGCCTTTGCTCATTTTTTTTGACATTTCCCGTCGGTAGCTCGGTTTCAAAGGCTCCCTCGTTCATTTAGTTGCTTGCCTGTCGTTGGGTTTAGCCAATTGTCGTAGGGCACATTCTGTCGGTCAAGGCGAGACGAATGGAAACTCAACGCGGATATATCGGGTTCACAGGACACACACACACACAAATATGCACAAATCCACACTCACAAACGCGGTGAACTCCTCCTTTCGTCTCTGATGGAGCCATTTGACGACATGCTGCATTTCTCACTTGTTCCACCGACCGACTGTGTGTGGCTTCATCAACGACTTGTTCACAGTCAATGCTTCGCTTCTCACGCCTGCCATCCACCTTCACTAACAACTAAACAGATCCAGTTGGTGCAACCTCGTTTTCACAATTTGCTTGTGCTCTCGCGGCCACTTCGAAGGAGATTTCTTGTCCTGCGTCCTGTGGCATAGTAGTTTTCGTAATTTGCAGCCTCGGTCCGTGGACTGATTACAATTCCACGCATTTAATCAATTATTGCATACATTACACATACATTACACATATTGTCTACATATCTAATCTAATCTAATCTAATCTAATCTAATCTAATCTAATCTAATCTAATCTAATCTAATCTAATCTGTCTAGTCTAATCTAATCTAATCTAATCTAATCTAATCTAATCTAATCTAATCTAATCTAATCTAATCTAATCTAATATGAAAAGCTTAAACACACTCTAATATACACATGTTAATCCGTATATAAGAATACGTATACACACACACACATACACACACATATATATATATATATATCATTAAAAATGCTTGCCACCATATCCGGAAAGTCCCATGTCTACAGTCGAAGAGTTGTACTTGCCCTGACAACAATAGCAGTGGACGCAGGACAAGGTGCGTACTTTGAGATGAGCTTGAAAGCATGATGATGCTACAAGACTGAGACGACACCAAAGTTATGCAACAAAGGGAACATTGGGCATAACGGAAGGTGCATCATCTTGGTCTTCAAAATTGTAATTGAAGAAAGAAATTAATCCGGACGTTAAGGCCTATGCAATTTGCTGATGATACACGAGATGTGGGAAAATTCAACTGCCAGTCCTTCCTCACCTTAAACAGATCTCTGATATCGGATTTATTGGTAGCTCTCGAAAGCCTACTTGCAAACGAAAAATGTGTTGTGGATGCCGATCAAACCTTTCTGAATATACCCAACAAATGGAGGATGCTGGAGGCAGACATGATGACAATACTGACGCAGATGGCAGTGACTACTTTATTCGAAGTCGCCGTGAAAGCATGAAAATGGCATCAACCTAATTCTATATCACACTGAGACCAGGCTCTCATTCACTAATTCTATTATTCATTCATTGTAGCAATCAATCATTGTTTAACTCGATCAATCGCCTACTCATCCCATTACTCACTTATTCACTTATTTACTCGTTCATTCATTCATTCATTATTTTTCATTTTCGCGTGGTCATTTAATCATTCATTCTCTTATTTATTTCCCAATTGGCTAATTCACTTAATTAATGATTCACACAATCAGATACTCTTCATTCACTCACACTTTCACTCAACCACTCATTCGTCTATTCATTCACTCACTATTTGGTTAATTCACTCAGTTATTCACTTAATTATCCACTTAGTCAAACATTCACTGATTCGCTTCAACTCTATGGAGCAGTAAGCCGAACCATTTGCTCGCGGCTACTGCATCAACATGCTTTCGGCGTGGTTGTAAAGTCAAAAGTATCTTCCTAGGCAACTTTTCATCTTTGCTTCCAGCGCTGCTTGACCCAATCTCTTGTCGTGGTAAGACTGAAACATTCTGAAGCATTCGAGACTTACAGAAGTGTCATTTGCCAACCGGGCTAGTGTTAATGAATCTGTATCACCGTTTCTGGGTGAGATTCCATTGAGGGATTTGTTCATCAAAATTGATTGTCAACTTCCTGCATGCCCATTGGCCAAGCTCATTGCAGATCGAAAGTCCAATTACTGAATCATTCTCAACCAGCATACACATACAGCTGGGTCAAAAAGTCTGAATCCAGTACCAAAAACCGTGCTTATTTTCTAATATACTAAAAATAATACTAATCTTTGCTCAGTTGATAATTTCCAAACAAGATTACGATATTTTTTTACTAATATGCTGGTCGACAAATGTAAGTTGATTAACCCAAATCAAGAAAAGTTTATGTGTATTTGCTGGCTGTCAGAATGTTTCAACATTTCGTATAGCCACTTTTAGTCTTACTCATCGCCTGCACTCTCTTTTTCTCTATCTATCTATCTATCTATCTATCTATCTGCCTGTCTCTCTCTCTCTCTCTCTCTCTCTATATATATA